TTCTTCTATTTAATATATATAGTATAGATAATACTAATCAATTCAAGAGTCAGCCGACTATTTATCTTCATTCACATCTCCCCATACAAACACTCCTCTTTGATCTCACTCATCTCTACCTCTTTCTCTTTAAGATTTTCGATAACTGACGACAATGCCTTACTTCTTATCTTTCTCTTTCTAATATATAGTCATCGGTGACTGATGACTATCAGTGCTTGGGGTTCACCAGCAATCACCGACCATCGACTCCTTACTTCACTTTTACCGACCATAAAAGAAACGAGTTTTCGGCGTTTTTTTAAGATTTTTTATAAAAATAATTTAATAATTTTATCACTGTGTACCATAATGTACAGGAGAAGTTAAAAAAAGTACTGCAGTAACTATGCACAGATTGTATCTATAATTATTTGTATGAGGGGATTTTAAATACTGATGAGGGGATTTTGATCAAATCAATAAATGCATGCATGTGGGAAGACATGTAGATTGAAAAAAGCTAATAAATGCTGATGAGAGGATATATATTTATATTTGTTTTAGATTTTTTTTAATATATAAATTATGTTTTTTAAGATTTTTTATAAAAATAATTTAACAATCTTATTACTAACCATAATGTATGGGAGAAGTTGAAAAGGGTACTGCAGTAACTATACACGGATTGTATCTATAATTATTTGTATGAGAGGATTTTAAATGCTGATCAAGGGATTTTAGCCAAATCAATAAATGCAGGCATGTGGAAAGACATGTAGATTGAAAAAATTTAATAAATGCTGATCAGGAGATTTTGACCACATCAATAAATGCTGAATTTTTTTTTAAATCAAAAAATTAAGAAATTAGGATTGAGAGATTGGAGCTCTCACAAAGTTTGGGGGTTAAAAACCCCCTTTTGCTTAATATATAGTATAGATTTTAACCAAATCAATAAATGCAGGCATATGGAAAGAAAATGCTGATCAGGAGATTTTGACCAAATCAATAAATGCTGAGTTTTTTTTTTTAAATCAAAAAATTAAGAAATTAGGATTGAGAGATTAGAGCTCTCATAAAGCTTGGAGGTTAAAAACCCCCTTTTACTTAATATATAGTATAGATTGTGATTTTTAAATATCTTTTTTTTTTTTAAATGTCTTCTTTTTTTTTATTTTTTATATTATATTAAAGTTTAATATTTTGATAATAATCATTTGTGTTAGACTTTTTAAGGAATTAAATGTCTTTTTTTTTATTATATTATATTAAAGTTTAATATTTTGATAATAATTATATGTGTTGGCCTTTCCAAGAAATTTTTTTTTATGCTTGTTCTTAATACATTAAAGTGTTATTATGAGGGATAATAATCATATGCTTTGGGACTTTTCAAGAAACTCATATGTGTTGGATTTCAAAGAATTTTTTTTATGCTTATTCTTAATGCATTAAAGTGTTATTATGAGGGTAAGACTTGGGGGTTGAGAGAAGTTAATAAATGCTAAGGTTTTGTTTTTTAAAAAAATAAAAAAATCAGGAAATTTAGATTACGAGATTGGACCTCCCACAAGGCTTGGGATTAAAAATCTCCTTTTGCTTAATATATAGTATAGATTATCAAAGATTCTAGTAGTTGGATTTAATTTTTATTAAGTCTTATTGAAAATAAATTTTGGTAAAATTATCACTAAAAAATAATTTTTTTGCAACAATTTTTTATATATATCGCTAAAAATTAGCAATTAGTGACTTTTTTTTTTGTAATGATTTTTATAAATTGTGGCTAAAACTTATAATTAGTGACTTTTTTTATAATAATTTTTTTTCATAAGACCTATTAAACAATAAGTACACTTGTTAGGACCTACATGTAAGTACCCTTTTTTTTATTTGTTTAAATAATTTAAGCGGTGAGAAATTGAGAGAAATTCATTTCTCTTATAATTTTCATTTTCAATCTTTTTAAAAGTGGAGAGATTGTGAGAGAAAAAAACCAACAGATTTTTATATTTTCATAATATCAATTTTGTCTCTGTAAAAATAAAATAAATAAAATGATTGACAAAATATAAAAAGGTTATTTTGATAATATAATATGAAACAGTTCTTTTTCTTTTCTCTTATGAAATCTAACCAAACAAGAAAGAGAGAAATTATAATCATTTCTTTTATTTTATTTCTTATTTATCCAAACAAAAATGAGAAAAATTATAATCATTTCATTTCATTTCATTTCTTTTCTCTTATAAATTATGTAATAATTTCTTTTCTTTTATCTCGTAGGTTTCTAAACATAGTGTAAAAGTGTGGAATATTGACCATCAAATTTGCGTAGCATTTGGTTTGAAACCCAAACCAAATCATGATTTTAATTATTTTTTTTAAAATTAAAATTTATAACTAAATGGATAAATTATACCGACACCCCTTTAAGGTTTCTGTTTAATACAGATCCTTTTCTCATGTTTAAAAAATTACATTTACGCTTGTCAGATTAAAATGACATATTTATCTCCTTAACCTTTATACATGTAAAATAATAAAATAATATTGATATTTTATTCATGTCATTTCAAGAGAAATAACAATCATCTTCTTTGGTTTAACTCACACAAAAAATTGAATTTCTTTATTTTTCAATTTTTTTAATATTTTAAGCATTTTTTTTTTTTTTGAGATACACCTAATCTAGATATACTTAAGAAGTATAATATTTGAGATTTTTTTTTTAAATTCACCAAATATAAAAAAAAATATAAAAATTCAATAATATTGTAATAAATGTGAATGACAATATTTTGTAATACTCTAATAAATGTATGTGAATAAACAAGAAAGAAAAATGATGGTGGAAATAAAAATAAAAAATTATATTCATATATAAAAATTTATACAAAAAATATCATAAAAATATTGTGATAGTGATAGTGATATTGTTATAAATATAAATCATATTTATGGTTGTCTTGTTTTAAAATGAAAAATCACTATTAAGCTATATCATTGGGATTGAAAATTTTATACAAAATTTATGTTTGTATATCATCTCTCAATAAGAATATATTCAGGTAGAATTTAATGATGAAAAATTATTTAATATAGTCATGATGATAAAAAGAATAAATGGTCGGAAAAATGGCGAAATGGTCATTTAGAAAATTTTAGTGTATGACATCAGATATCCAAAGCCAATTTATAATGACATTACAAACCTCAAAGAGAGGAATGTAATTTTTCAAATGTGAGGTTAGAATCTATATTAAACAAAAATATCAGAGGGTGTCAGTGTAATTTATCCTAACTAAATATACAATTCAAAACTCAATTCAAAAATTATTTTTAAAACTTATAATCAAATTCTTTCAAAATTTTATTTTGTTAAAAAAAAAATCAATTTTTTATTTTTTTAAAATTATTTTTTACTTTTTGAAAAAATATTTTTTTATTATTTTTGAAGAAAATTTTATTTATTTATTTATTTTCTTTTTTCAAAAAAATATTTTATTATTTTTTTTAAGTATTGACCAAATAATTTATAATTTTAAATATATATGGGCGATTCAAAATTTTTAAATTTTAAAAAAATTAAATATTTAAAAAATAAATAAATAACTATTCCAAAACAATTTTAAAAATAAAATTATATATTTAAAATAAAATAAATAAATTCTTAAATATTTAGAAAAATATTTAAAAAAATACAATGCACATAGAAAAAATATTTATAGTAAAAAATATTTATCCAATAAAAATAAAATAAGAAAATTTTTAAATATTGAAAAACAACAACAACAAAAAAATCAAAATACAGTTCAAAATTCTTTTTCAAACTCATAACCAAATAAGTTTTCTCTTTTCAAAATTTATAATCAAACGAGTTTTTGTAATTTTCAAAATTATAGATTTTAAACAAATTTCAAAAAAAATAAATGTATTTGTAGTACTATCTAAAAAGAAAGCATTTGTAATTATTCATATTTATTCAAAGGAAAATGTGAGATGGCCCAATTACAATTGATGTTTTGGTGACAATTTTCATGATCATCCTTCGTCGTCATCTGTAGAAGGAGGGGTAAAGCTCCAGTACATACATAATCCAAAGCAGGTGCAGTAGGGGCTGTATAGGCGCCTTTGTTGTGAAGGAGAATCAGATCCATCGCACACTGCTTTACTTTAAAAGGTGACGGCATAATGAAAGAAACTTGGAATTGCTCACCACCTTTAATTCTATACCCAAAATGTTCTTCAACTATTATATCGCTGCTCCAAACATAATCCCCACTACTTTCAGGGATGCCGAAGAAGATCGGGGTATAAGTAAAATCGATGCCATTAATTTTATCAGTAATAATGACGTATGGATAATCATCTAGTTCTGTAGAGTAGCCTTCTTCATCCCCAGCTCTATAATAAACAACTCCCACATCGAATCCTACAACATAGTCGTCTTTCCCTCGCACTACTGGCACTTCTAAGGATATTGAAGACGACCCTGTTATTGTATAGCTGAAAATATCGCTGAAGTCACCGGGATAGAAATAGTCACGCATGAATAAGGACCTGCCACGATGATGCTGTCATATGAATTTCTAATTAGTAGAGTGCTAGACAAAAATAATAAAAATAAATTTGCAGATACAAAATCAATAACATAAAATATAAGTAGAATAACTTGAGAGTGAAGCTATATATTTTATGATAAATCCTACTCTTTTCATGTAATATGTATAATTAAGATTATGCCATGTTGTTTATTCTGTATCCTCGTAATCTTGTTTGAAATTATTTTTGCATCAAATCAATATAGTGGCAAGTTTTAATTTTATTATTTAGAATTAAAAGACTTATTTATATTTGAAAAAAGAAATGTTAGATATGTCACATATGCTTTTATCATTGTTTTGTATTATTGTTTACATGGAAATTTATAATTGGCTCATTTATTTACAGATAATTACTAATAAACAAATGAAAACAACTAACATATTGTCATAGAGAAATGGTATATATGACCGATTATTTATCATTATTTTGTGTCACCATACTTGTGATTAATTCTCTTATTTGAAGATCATTATTAACAAATTAATGCAAACAAATGACATATTTCCAAGTAGATTGATGATATAAAAAGATGATATAAATATGTGATATATAATCATCTAATATATTATCATGTAGCTGGTAATAAAAACGGTGAAAAAACTAGTAAATCCTATTTTTAAAATTGTTATTGTCACGTCATTCAAGTAAAAAAAATTGAATAAAAAATTCAATAAGAGTAAGATATTCCATATCTAATAGGCAACTCTTCTCTAGTCCGCTGGTGTTGTTTAGGTCTATTGGACCCACCACAGGTTCCGTTTTTGTAATCTAAATTATTCATTTTGTTGAGCACTTCATATATTTCATTCACACAAAAATTAAATCGATTCGATAATTGTAACCTATATAATTTGTTGCGTTTGTCACCAAAAAAATATAGTATTATTTATTTTTAAAAATACAATTGTCATCCATTTTTTTTTATATGACAAATTTGATAAATTGAATAATATTATGATTATCAGATCGATTTAAAAAAAAATATTTGGTCAATGAAATACACTAAGTGTCTGATAAAATGAAATATTTGAATCACTGAAACAGAATTCATGATGGACCCCATTATTGATTCCACAAACCTAAACAGCGTCCTCCAGTCCATATAATCTGGACCGGATGAAATCCTCCTCCTTTGGTATTTTACAGGGAACATTTAAAATAATTTGATTTCACACATTTCACTTAATTTTCGGAGAGATTTTTTTTTGCTAAACTGTTGCACCTGAGTGTGAGAGAGAGAGAGAGAGAGAGAGAGAGACCTGAAGAGGAGTTTGTAAATTGTTGAGCCTGTCCGAGGGGATGATTCGTGCACCTTGAAAACAGTGAGGATCTTCCATTCCATCATTATTAAGATTTGAGAGAATATGGTGAAATTGGTGTTTACCCAACCGCATTTTTAGAGTCTTCAATCTTCTTGGTAGATCGGATATTTTTTCAAGTGATGAACAATTACAAGCATATATTGTACATAAATTAGGAGGAAGATCTGAAATAGATTGAAGACTTGCGCAGTTATCCAACGAAAGGTCTTCTAGTTTGGACAGATGATTGAAGCCATGTGGTAGGCTACGAAAATTGTTTCCGCCTAAATCCAACACTCGTAATGAGGATAAACTCCTAAGATCAACTGGAAAATCTCCTTCAGACAAATTGCGATAATTGAGATCTAACTTTGTTAAGGAACACAAACTTGAAATAGAGGATGGTAAAAATCTTATGGAGTGGGCATTTTTTCTCTGTAAAACCCAAGATAAAATAAGAGAAAACCAGGATTTAGTTGTGAATTGCCTATTACATCCCTTCAACGATAACCTCCTAAGATTCTTCAGTAGTCCAATAGAGAAAGGTAGTTGTTTAATGATGGTTCCATCTGCAAGAAGCTCTGTTAAGCTTTCCATATGTCCCAAGTGCTCTGGAAACTCTTCTAGTTTTGTGCAACCAGTGAGATTTAGACGTTCGACAGACTTTAACTTGCAGATACTGCCTGGAAGAAACCTAAGGTTCATGCAATCTTTCAAATTCAAGTAAACAAGTTTATCTAGAAGTCCAATTGATTCGTGGAGCTCCATTAAACTTGTACAACGTTCAAGCTGTAATTCCTCGAGCATTGATAGTGCACAAAAGATGGGGCTTTTTGTTAGGCATTTGGAATTATTGAGATTTAGAATTTTCAAGCTCTTGAAGTGCTGTTAAAACCAAGAAAAAAAAATATAAAATTATACAATTTTCTTTCATCATGATCCCACCAAAGAATTTATCTAAAATCCCAAACAACAATAAATTTGATGAGATTATCATACCTTGCCATCTGTCCAGAGTGTTTTAAATTTGCTAAATTGCATGTCTAAAATAACAAGTTTCTTTGGATGAAAATTGGATGGTAAATACTCCAATAGGCAATAATGCCAACAGAGCCACCTTAACTCTTCAAATAGATGTTCAAAATTTCCACAAAGGTGCCCACGATTTATTCGAAGCAATCTTAACTTAGGCATCCCAGCAAATGCTTTATTACTCCATTTTATCTTCTTTAACATGGGTAGGATCAGGATCACACCTTCGACTGCTTCCGTTCCCTAATATAGTAATATTTAAAATCAAAATGAAAAATTAAAAGGAAGAAAGACTATATAATTAAGATGTGATGTTTGTGAGAGAAAAAATAAAATGATTATGGATTTGATGTGACATTTTAAATTTTAGTACTATTTTAGCCCAAAAAGCCAAAGAATTAAGATTCAACTCTTACCTTATTTTTTTCGAGTACATAGCATACATCTTCATGAAACCACAATCTACTACGCTTTTCAGGCTCCTTGGGATATTTTTCACGAATAATCTCCCTTCCCATATCCCTAACTAGATCATGCATCATCAACTCATTGTTTTCACTATTTCTCAGTAAACATCTACTAATCAAAACACTAATTCCAATTTCTGCGAAGAAACCACAACCATTCAATATAGTAATGGCATAGTCTTTGTCCATTCCAATGAAAAAGAAAGCAATATCAAGGAAGATATCCTTTATTTTGTCATCATCTAGTGCATCAAAACTTATCCTAAGTCTTTTCTGAATTTCCTCATGAGGAATTTGTTGTAATTTATCAAATGCACTTTTCCATTCGACCATGTTTCTTCCAAACAAATAAGAACCCAAAACTTCAACAGCTAGTGGCAGCCCACTAGCATAACTTACTATACCATTTGCAAGATCTGCATAATTTTCTAATGGATTGGTTTTTCCAAAGGCATGCCAACTGAAAAGCTGCAGAGACTCTTCGTGATTCAATTCCATAGCCATGTATCTCTCATCAACTTTCAGTCCCTTCAACAAGTGCTTATCTCTAGTTGTTATGATGATTCTACTTCCTGGACCAAACCAATCACGATTTCCTGCCAAGGTACTTAATTGAGTTAATTGATCCACATCATCAAGAACAATGAGAACCCTTTTAGAGTGGAGCCTTTCTTTTATCAAATTCATTCCTCTATCAGCACTGCCAATCTTTAGATTCTTTATCCCTAATAGTTCATAGAGAAGTTGTTCTTGTAATTGACATAGACCATTGAATTGTCCTGTACATTCTCTAACATTTGCAAGAAAACAACTCCCTTCAAATTTGAGGCAAATATGGTTATACACAGCTTTTGCAATGGTCGTTTTGCCTATTCCACCCAAGCCGTATATCCCAATCATTCGAACGTCATATGATCCAATGCTCAACAATGACTTTACGTGTTTAACTCGAGAATCTATTCCAATTGGGTGCACAGCAACATTTAGGAATGTATGTTTCAGTTCACATAAAACCTCTTTAACAATTTTTCGGATGAACTTTGCTTCATGCCTGTCAATTTCGATCCAAATAAAAAGTGAAGCAAGTATACATTATGGAAATATGAGACCTTACAAACCCCACTCCCAATATGAAGTTAAGAAATGTAAAATTCAAAACATCCTGAAGTTACAAAGTGAACTATTTATGTACATGTATGTATATAGTCTAGTAAATTAGTGTGTAGTATGCACTTTGGTATGTATGCATTATATTTCAGGCCTTGAACTTGATTTTGGAGTAAATATTCTATATATGCATGAATCAGAGCATAGCACTCATTTCGTTTTTATAACCAAGCCAGACCTAAATAAAATTATTGATGAAAGCATTGTAAGTCAGTTTTAATCTATAAAGCATTGGTACGGGTACAAGAATTAGTACTGGTATGATACGGGTACAGATACAGTAAAATTTAAAAAATAGGATACAGGTACAGCTTGGTATTGCTTGTAAAAAAATATTTATTTTTAATTTAGAATAATGCAAAAATTAATTAAATGGTTTATTTTGTTAAGGTAACTTACAACTAAAATTTAATACCAAAAGTAGAGATATAAATCAAAATTAAATGTCAATATATTAAATAACTTACAAATCATAGTCTAATTTTAAAATCATGCTAAGTATAAAATAAAAAATAAAAAAGAAATTTGGTGAAAGGAGTTTTTTCTCTATAGTAGAAGAAAATATTGTTTCAATTGAGGTACGGTACGACTTAAATATATAATAGGTGCGTCTAAGCATGCCAAAAATTAAGAAGAAAAAATTTGAGTACACGTTTCATACACTCGGTACATATATAGAATTACCATAGAAAGTACCATACGCCCATAAATTTCTAGTACGAGTACGACATGTTTTTTGAAATACTCATTCTTCTTCAAAGGTTTTAATAAAAGATATACATGTATTAAACAAAAAAATTGAATTCTTTTTAATCAAATCCATAAATAAAATTCTCAATAAGTATTAAAATAGGCAATTGTAAAAACAAGAAGGATCAACATGGTAGGATTTTCTTTCTAGTTAAGGATAAAAATTGATAGCAGCAGCATCAAGATAAAAAGGATGTTAATAATGATTACCCATTTGCAACATTTTGCAAATCCCACCCTGACAAATTAGCAGCTTGAGAGAGGGCAGCTCTCCTGATCTCCACCTTCTCCATCTCATCCATGTAACGCTTTTCGTGTCTTCCAAATGCTTCTCCAAAATACCCAGTTTGGTGGCGTACATCAGATGGATCAACATCGTAGAATATTGGGACAAGTAATTGTCCAAGTGTTTTCTTGCATTCAATGATCTTCACGAGCTCATCAAGGCACCATCTGGAAGAAGCATAGTTTCTTGAGAAAACAACGATGGACATCCTGGATCCTTCGATTGATTTGAGAAGCTCCGAAGAAATTTCACGTCCTCTTGGAAGTTCATCATCATCCCTGAAGGTGTGAATTCCAGCTTGAACCAAGGCCTCATAGAGATGATCAGTAAAGTTTTTGCGGGTATCTTCACCTCTGAAACTCAAGAACACGTCATAGCTCCAGGGAGATTGTGTCGAAGATGATGAAGAAGGAGAACAATGACCTAAGCTTCTTTTAAAAGCCATGGATGATCAAGCCAAAATTAGATTAGAGATCAAAATCAATTGTAAACAGTGTGAAAGAATAGTGATTCTTCCAAAGGTAAGAAAAGAGTCATTTGCAAATTGCAAGCTCCTCCATCTTATGTTATGGGCTTTGGAGGGATCTCATCTGTGGAGTGGAGTGGAGTGGAGTGGAGTGGGAGTACAGTTAATGATCAGTTGGAATAAATTACACTGACTTTTTCTTACAATTAAAAATATATAATAAGTGTTATACTTATAATTAATCAATTAAAATTAATGCAAGTAATGTAAAAAAAAAAAAAAATAAAGTATATATTTTTATGTAAAAAAATATAATAATATTATTATTTTTATTTATATAACTAATAAATTATTATTAAAAATAAAATTAAATATTATAATAAAATTTCAAAATTATAAAATTTTCTTATTTTTTTTCGAACTTTTTAGTGCAGATTGCTGTGTTGGAATCCCAATTCTCACATGACTGGCCAATTTTTTGGATGCTTCTTGGAATCCCACCTTTGAACAAATTCGTGGAAGTGTAATGCTCGAGGCCTCGAAATTTCGAGGTTCCAATGCTTCGAATTTTTTTTTTTTTTTTTTGGTTTTGGGGGGTTAAAAAATTAAAAAATTAAACATTCCATATTAACTCAGTCTGTGTGGTTTGATAAGGTGAGTGAGTTAGGTTGTACTGATTGGATAAAAAAATTGACTAATCAGTTATACTACTAGTTAAAATTTGTTAATTTTATATAGTTTTGTATGAGTCTCTATTATATTTTTTTTTTCAAATCAGAAAAATCAAAGGAAATCGAAATCAAAGTCATTTCAATTTCTTCCCAACCTTCCTAATTTTAAATAAAAATATAGTAGGGACTTGTACAAAAACTATATAGAATTAACAAATTTTAAATACAGTTTAACTCATCAATCAATTTTATCACCAAACCAATCCAACCAAACTCACTTACCTTATCAAATTACATAAAGGTACAAGATATCTAATTTTTTAGCACAATCCTACATATAATCATCCTTAAAATAAAATAAAAAAACCATGATTCGAGACTAATTCTTCGAAATTTTGAGGCCTTTATCACGGCCGTTCTCGGAATCCCACCTCTTTTTTTTTAATTCTTTTTTGAACTGGTTCCTGGAATCCTACCATGGAGTAGGTAAAATGGTAAATTTCTTGGATGTTTCTTGGAGTCCCACCTTTGAACAAATTCTTGGAATCCCACCTTGGAGCAGTAAAATGGTACTGTTGTTTCTTGTTGGACGTATCTCGCCTCGGACGCTATAATTCGAGTGATTATTAAGGAGTCGTTTAGGAACAGAGTTTTTTAATAATTTTTTAATTTTTTAATTAAAATATGATATAAAAAATTAATATATTTAGAATGATATTTTAATTTTTTATAAAAAAAATGTGTAAAAAGTAGAGAGAGAATGAAATTTTTGACTTTTTTTATATAAATTGTTGATTTTTTTAATAATTTTTTGACTAAAATTATCACTTGTCAAACGAGACATAAGTATTTTTAGAATATGATCACGTAAAATTTTAAGGTATTATAATTAATAGAAGAGAAAGTATAGCCTATACTTTTGTGTTGAGTATGATGAGATATAGTATATGATAATTAGTCTTAAAATATAAACACGTGACATGCTAAGGATATTGAATAATTTTTCTTCTTGACTCCTTCTGGTATAGAATCCTTCCCACTACTATATGAATTTTATAAATAAGGCAAATTACCTACACCTCCCTTGAAGTTTAGTTAAATTATAGATTTTCCTTTGAAGTTTTAGAAATTACATTTTGCCCCTCGAGATTTATATTCGCATAACAATTTAACACTTACCGTTAACTAAACGTTAAGAATGGTTAGTTGGCATCACCAACATATAAATTAATGGACGATATTGGCCTTGCTGAAATCCTTTTAATAAATCAACAAAATTTACAAAAAAATTACGGTAGATGGGAAAAAAAAAATTAAGTTTTTTGAACTATATTTGATTTGTTGTTTAGAAAAAAATTTCAAATTTTTTTTTAAAAAAAAAATAATTTAATAAAAATAAATATGAAAAAATATATTTAATTTGTAAAAATTATTTCTAACCACTCAAAAGATAAAATTATATAAAAATAATAATTATTTTTTATTTTTTATTTCTTAACCAAATTGACTTTTAATTTTTTTTTTAAAAAAAATTCTAAAAATCAAACCAAACATATTCTAAGAATTTTTTGACAAATCATTTCTTGTGTTTTTAACTTATTTAATTATTTGTTAATTTTATGATATTTTTATCATCTGACACTATAGCATATAAGAGTTTTAGAAATCAATTTTTTTTATCTCTAAAAGTGAAAATTTTGTTGCAAAAAACATTTAGGGATTAATTTTTATCGTCATAAGAATAGTCGTTAAAAGGTCGTCCTGAAAAGTTAAAAATAAGGTTTTTAGCGATAAAATTTTGAAAATGTCAATAACAAATAAACTTTTAAAGATAAAATAATTTGGTCTCAAATTGATTTATTTTTTTAGACAAAATAATAATAATTAATCACTAATGTTTAATTTTCGTTGCTAAAAATATAATAACGACACTTTTCACAACAAAATTTTTGTTCTCCTAAAAATAATTTTGTCCTTAAATTTTGATCTCTAAAACTTTAATTTTTTGTAGTGTGATAAGTGTTTTTCCATTTTAATTTTGTATTTCATAACTTATTGAAAAATGATAATTTAGCTAAACCTCATGGGGGAATCTGTAATTTAGCTAAATCTCAGGGGGGGAATTTGTAATTTAGTTAAACCTCAAGGGGGTGTAGGTAATTTACCCTTATTTGCCAAAAGGGCATTTTAGTCAATTTATGATATCCGTTAACGGCGTTAATTGCGATGGGACGGGATGCAATTTTTGAAACATCAGGGAAAAATCTGTAATTTCGTTAAATCTCAAGAAATGTGTAGGTAATTTGCCCTAAATAATAATAATAATAATAATAATAATATATTTAATTTTTTTTTTTGGGTGCTCTGTTCAAAAATTCATATTTGAATTTCTTTTGTCCAAAATCTAAGCACTACTTTATTATGTCCATAAGGACACCGGGGCCTTACAATCCACCCCCCATAAGGCTGCACGTCTCCGTGCAGTAGCCTGCCAGCTCGCAAGCCCGCCCACATGCACCGAGAGACGCTAGGGGCCCACACCCAGTACTCCGGAGAGTCGGCTCTGATACCATTTGTAACGCCCCGACCCTTTACACGTCATCGATATTGTCCGCTTTGGGTCACGCCCGCACGGATTTGTTCTTCCCAGTGGGTCACCCATCCTAGAACTACTCCAGCCTAAGCACGCTTAACTGGGGAGTTCTAATAGGGATTTCACCACTTAGGAAAAGGCCTCGATGCTATATAAGGGTCCAGGTTTTTACTTTTATAGCCTAGGAACTCCCCCTCCATTCCCGATGTGGGACACCGGGGCCTTACAAATTTCTTACAAATTTATTTATTAAATTAAATCCATTACTCTAGAAACCAAACCCAAGCCCCTCTCTCTCTCTCTCTCTCTCTCTCAACCACCGACATCCATTACTACCACCGATATAACCAGCTTCGTTGTCGAGCATTCACGCTTAAGTACCTCCCGTCGACTGCGTCACTTACGCCTTCTCCAACTAGATCACCGAGTTCACCTACATCAACTCTCTCTCTCTCTCAATCACCGACATCCACTACTACCGCCGATATGACCGGCTTTGTTGTCGAGCACTCACACTCAAGTACCGCCCGTCGACTGCGTCACTTACATCTTCTCCAACTAGATCACCGAGTTCACCTACGTCAACTCATCACATGCTTAAACAATGTGTCAATATAATCCTTATTGTTTTAATTTGTTCGATTTTGACAATAATCAAATTGACACATCGTTTGAATTTCCGTCCACTAAACCTAATAGTCGTTATTTATTGAACTAGTATGACACAATCCGTTAAATTAAGGGGCAAAATCGAGTAAATTGAAACAACTGAGACCAAATTGATACATGGTAAAAACTACAAGGACCATTTACATAATTTACCCTAAAATTTATATAAAGATGATATAACAATGCCGATTTTATAAATAAATTTATTATTATAAATATTTTGTTTTAAAATAAAATATACACAATAAATCATATTTTGCCTTCTTTTTTTTTAAATTATATATCATTACTCAACTACCCATAATCACATCTCACACTTTCTTATGTCACTTTTTATTGAATTATGATCTATTTCATTACATATTTATAATAGAGATATTTTATTATATCATCTAATGATAATTATAAAGATATTTTTAAATTTAAAATAATTATAAATTTACATTTTTATTTTATTGTGAGAGCTGAATAAATATATTCAAACAAGTGGCTAATAAGTAGGCCCAAATACTGTGGGCTAAGTAAAATCCAAGCCCATTGAACCATGTGATCACCCAGAGCTAAATAAATTGGGGCATACGAACTAGCAAGAGAGAGGGCCCATGAAGAATAATGATGAGGGCTTGGATTGCATGGAACAAAGATGAAGGACAATGATAGTATAAAAGATGAAGGTAGAGCTTAGAAGAAGAGGAGGTAAAAAAAACTTAAACCTAAAGGAAACCCACGCCAAGAAAATTCTTTCGGATCTAACTTGTCCATCGGAGTACTAATTCCGACATCACCGACCAGAGTTGTTCTTCTTATTACAAGTATCATATTGAGGATCTTCTCAGAGGAATAACTAGGGATAGAAAGAGTATTTCCGAAAACCACATCACCACAATTGGCGCCGCCTATGGAAATACTCAGATTCATCCATGGCAGACCAAATCTAAGATCCTTCAACCATTGGAGATAGCACTCCACCAGGAACAGTGTTTGGTCCGGAAGACGCTCCAGCTTGAAGGTCTTTGAATTTCGACTCATTCACCCCTTCATTGTTTTCGACATCAACGAAAGATGCCATGCAAACCCTAATAAGTCAGACACGGCAAAACTAACAGTGTCTAGAGGACATGGCGACTAACAACGAGCGCCTACATCAAAAGTTGGCAAAATCTCGATAGTTTGCACTATGTTGAGAACGGGATCCATCGCCTAGGAAGAGAACCAAACACCAACACCGCTCCCGGAGGCGTGATAATGGTAGCAATACATTGGATTCCTCTTGGGAATGGCCCGAAAACGAGGCCAAATAGATGATTCGGGCTCATCAGATGATGGAAGCCCTCAAGTACGACATGGGAGCCAGAACAGGGACGACGATTTGGATTCAGAAAACAAACATGACCCATTTGTTCAACGCATAGCTAAAGCCAGTTTACCTAAGAAGTTCAAGGCATCGTCATTCACTTTATATGACGGAAAATCTGACCTTATGAATCATGTTCGTCACTATAAGCAAGCCATGACCCTTCATGCAGATGATGAAGCCCTTATGTGCCGAATATTTCCCAGTAGTTTGGGACCCCTAGCTGTCAGGTGGTATTGTAAGCTTGAGCCGTCATCGAATGAGAACTTTCATCAACTTCAGAAATCTTTCAGGGCACAATTCATCACCAACGAGACTCAACCAAAACAAGCAGATTCCCTGTGGGCAATGAATATTAGGCCAGATGAGACTTTGCGCGCGTATTCGGCTCGCTACTGGGAGGGCTTTAATCTGGTCGATGACGATTGCATTGATTCAATAGCGATCATGGCCTTTAAAATGGGGCTACACCCAGACAGTCCACTAAGGAGTTCGCTAACACAGCGGCCTCCAAAGATAGTATGGGCCTTGATGAATAAGGTTGAAAAAGTATTCTAAGGTAGAGGATGATGCACTTTGGATCAAAACAGGGTTACAAAACACAGAGCCAGCAGTGCCTATCTTGGTACAGTCGCTGAGTGTAGTACAACCCGAAAGAACCCCACAAAGCCCGAAACCAAAAGGCCGAGCAAGAAGAGAGAATCAACGTGACTCACATCCACGGAGAGAACAATATCAACTGAAAAATCGGCTCCCTAGGCGGCCGGAAATGAAATACGCAGAGCTGACTGATCCGATCAGCAAGATTTTACCAAAATTTAGCACCATCCGTTCTTCAAGTGGCCAACTAAGATGTTTGGATCCCCATACACCAGACGAACAAATCGGAGATACGAATATCACAAGGATCATGAGCATGAGACTGAAAAGTGCTTCGGCCTAAAAGATTATTTGGAAGATTTGATCCAGAACGACAAATTAACAAAGTACCACCCCAAAAATAGGGACCTGTCGGGTATAGTAACCGTATGTCCCGATTCGCCCGATCGGCACAATCCATATGGTATACAATTTGCCTTCACCGTCAGTTGTAAATATAATCCACCTGCGACATTTGCTTCAAACCGACTCTGTCTCAGATGTTCAAGCAAAACGACTGCAGTAGTCGAGTGAGATCAACTTCTTTGACGCCGACATCAATGGCGTAACCCTTCGACACGATGATGCTCTTGTGGTTGAGTCGCAGGTGAATAAATTTACGGTGGAACATATTCTTGTCGACCAAGGGAGCACTTCCGAGATAATGTACTATAAAACCTTTACCAAGCTTGGCCTAAAAGACTCTGAACTCCTTCCGGGCGACTGCCCACTGTTCAGCTTTAATGCCAACCCTGAGTATCCTTTAGGTAAAAACACGATGTTGGTTCGTACAGGCACCAAGACCCTTGATGTTGAATTTTTAGTGGTCAAGCTCCTACAACATAATAATAGGAAAAACGTGGTTGTATGCAATGAAGGCCATCCCAAGCACTTACCACCAACTACTTCGCTTCCCAACTCAATACGGCATTGAGCAGATTCGGGGTTCTCAAAAATTGACGAAAGATTGTTATCTAACCTATCTGACAAAAAGGCCCAAAGCATTTAATTAAGGTACCGGATTGGGAATGCCTTGAAGACGTAGGTAAAACGCTGACTGAAAAGGCAACCGAGGAAGTGGACCGAGTGATAATCCACCATAACCCCGAAAAGTTCTTTTTGATTGGCATATCTCTTACCACAACAGAGCGACATGTGACAACCCCCACCTCTGATTAGTGCTAAACTGTGTTTTAGCATGATAAGTAACTGATAAGAATGATATCCTGAATCGATTGTATGAGTGTATTGTTTTGAATGCATTTCTATCTGTTTGATTTCTGAATGAATCTGTTCATGTTTTAATTTCGAACTGCGATTGAAGGTCTTATCGACGACCGAATCAGAAATCGGTTACTGTTATATGCTAATTAGGATTTATGTGATTTTATGATAGCTTTAATTAAAATTCGATTTGGAATGATTAGATTAGATTAAATAATGTTAAATTACAATAGTTTAGATTTATTACAAGATTGCCATTGAGTGGCTAATTCTAGACCATTGTTTAGTCTTTATTCATATTTATTGGGCACTATCACTTTCCATCCTCTAGAGACCAAACGTGAGGGAGAGAGAGAGAGAGAGACTTGGAAGAAAATTGATTTCAACAAGAATTAGCTTGGAGACTTAGAAGAATTGAAAGAGAATTTGCAAAATTGAGCTTCCACATCTAGAATTCAAGACCTAAGGTAGGAGTTCACCTTCTTCATTATGAAATTAAGTTGTTTCTTGCATGGTTCATGGAGATTTGGAGTTTAAAGTCAAGAATTAATTTGAAAGAGTTGAATTGTGAGCTAATTCATGCATGCATGTACATGTTCTAGCATTTTGAGGTTGTTTTCATGAAAATTCTTACAGGCATGTCCATATTTTAGTTATGGTCCATGAATCCATCATGTTTTTGTAGGGATTGACTCATTTGATCATGTGTTAGAAGCTTTGAATTCAATGAACACATGCATGATATATTTACATCATGTTCTTGAAGTTTTATTTGAAATTGTGTTCAATTGTCTCACATTTGGGCTTGATTTTACAAATTTGATCTTCAAAACATGTTGTAGTATGAGTTTGCAAGTGTTTTCCAGAAAATTGGCCCAAAAGGTTGAGTTTCGATGTGTTGAATGCTTGGTTTGAGCTTTGAAGGCAAATCTGGAAATTCCATATTTGGCTTCTCGAGCAAAGGATTCCACGCTCGAGCGACCATCATTTTGTTCAGAGCTCCGCTCGAGCGACGGAATGTTGGCTCGAGCGTAGATTGCAAGCTCTCAGGTTTTTGGTGCACGCAGACGCACGCTCGAGCGACGAGACCTACGCTCGAGCGAAGAGCTGTGTCTCACACTCGAGCGAGCATCGAGCGGGGATTTTCAACATCCAGTACTTTTGTATTTTTATAGACCGCTCGAGCGAGGAAGTCCACGCTCGAGCGACCCCTCTGTTTTGGAAAGCTCGCTCGAGCATAGAAAGCCACGCTCGAGCGAGACCCCTGTTTTCAGCAGATTTTGAAAAGTGTTTTAAAGTGCATTTTTGCATCCTCATTTCATCCTAGGCATTCCTAAGCCAAGTTTAAGGCATCTTAATGAGGATAATGTTATAGAACCACACCATGTATAATTAGGGGCTAAGTTATTAATCCCGAGTGTGTGTTCGTTCTGCAATTGTAGGGTTAGCATCCGAGGACGCTCGTTAGCTTGTCTATAGCCCAGTGCTCTGTGAGTAACAATGTTGTAAAGATATGTTCAATTATGATTATTTTCTGAATGATCAACTGTACTATTTACTGAAATGCTATTGTTCAATGAATGAATGTTTGTCCTATTTGTAAACTGTACTCGTGGCATTCATAGCAACCTACTATTACTGTTACTGTTACTGCTACTGTTACAAAGATCTCTGTCGGTTCCAATGTTGGGACCACTACTGTTTACTGTTATGATGGCCACCAACTGACTGTTCGGTCTGTTAAGACCTACTGTACTGTTTTGCTATTGGACGTACCACGTATAACTGTTATGAATTCTAAATGACTGTTTTAATTAATGAAAGGACATTCATTCTTAACCCCTTTACGCATTTGTTATTCACTGGGCTTTAGCTCACTGTTTATATTTATATGTAGGTGTCCAGGCACCGGACCGATGCTAGGAGCGTCAGGTTAAGCTCTTGTTTTGTCAAGCCAACCATCGCGCCTCACTTCGAGGTTCCAAGTTCGTTCAAGCTAAGGCTGTTTTGGGTGTCTCAATTTCACCCTCCTGTCTCTGTTTTGTCATAAATGTTTAAGACATGACTGTACAGTTATAGTTAGGGATTTGGTCCCTAACATGGATGTTTGTGTATATGTCGCATGTACATATGTTTTGGTTATCAATGTGGCATGTTTATAAAAAGTCTTTTTTGCATTCAGACTGTTACAGCTCATTGAACATCTTTTATTTATTGTTTTGGCTTCTGCCAGCCCCTTTACTCTGTATTACTGTCAATACTGTTAAGTAGGCCTTCGATAATCACGAATTACTGGCCGGTTGCGATGTTAAACCCATAGGGGCGGGTTTGGGTTGTGACACGACAAGAGTTGGTTTCCATCATCCTTTGCAGCGTCGATATATTTGCATGGTCGCCCTATGAAATGCCTAGAATAGACCCCACCGTTGCAATGCACAGTCTGAATGTTGACCTCAAGGCCAAGCCAGTCGTTCAAAGGGGCCGGCGTTCAATCACCGAACATGTTACTGCAGTGATCGAAGAAGTTGGCAAACTCTTGGAAGCCGGGGGCAATTCGGGAGGTTATCTATCCCACGTGGCTATCCAATACCGTTATGGTAAAAAAAAAACTGGAACATAGTGTGTATGTGTGGACTTTACCGATTTGAACAAAGTATGTCTGAAAGACTGTTTTCCCCTACTATGGATCGACCAACTCGTGGATGCAACTACCCAGCATCAACACATGAGCTTTCTCAATGCTTATAGGGGATATCATCATATCGCCATGGATCTGGCCAACCAGGACAAAACGGTATTCCTTACCCCGCGGGGAACCTATTGTTACAAGGTCCCCTTTGGACTGAAAAATGCCGAGGAAACATATCAATGATTGGTCATGACCATGTTTAAAGACCAAATTGGCCGAGCCAATGAAGTCTATGTCGATGATATGATTGTAAAGTCCAAAGAAAAGGACGCTCACCTAGCCGAACTCGCCACAACTTTCGACATCCTCTTGAAGTACAAGATAAAACTCAATGCCTCGAAGTGTACATTCGGCATTAGCTCAGGAAAATTCCATGGTTACATAGTGAACCAACGTGGGATCGAAGCAAATCAAGGCCATTTTGGAACTCGACTCACCTAAATCGGCCAAAGATGTTCAGAAACTAATGGGCATGGCAGCGGTGCTTTATAGATTCATTAGCCAATCTTTTGATAAATACAAATCTTTTTTTCAAACACTTCGGCAAAGCAAAGTATTTGATTGGTTCCCCGCATGTTATCGTAGCTTGGAAGGGTTAAAAATCTACCTCAAATCCATCCCACTTCTAGCTACTTCTTCACCAGGAGATGTGCTCATCCTATACTTAGCAGTATCTGATCAAGCAGTGAGCATCGTTTTGATAAAGGAGGAAGACGGTCATCAAAATCCCATTTTTTATGTTAGCAAAGCGATGGTGAGTGCCAAAACCTAATATTTGCCCCTAGAGAAGCTGATATTGGCTCTTGTAGTGGCCGCTAGAAAACTGATACACTATTTTTAAGCTCATACTATCAAGGTTTTAACATACCATCCCCTCTAATCAGTCCTGGGTAGTGCCGAGTCATCACGATGCGTATCAAAGTGGGCGTTAGAACTCGGACAATACAATCTCCAATTCCAACCTAGGATGGCCGTTAAGGAGTAAGTATTGGCCGACTTTGTCACC